GTAGGGTTCTGTACCCGAAAGGTGCCAATGGAACCTTATTACTAAGCCTCCGCTGTCCGTCCGTCTATCAGAGGGCTATATCTCATGAACCATAATAGGTAGAGTTGAAATTGTCACAGTTTGTATTATTATTGCCACTATAACAGCAAATAATAAAAAACGAAGATAGCGAATTTCAAAACGGCTGCCATGCAAATTAAAAAAAGACGATTATGATACGGAACCCTTCGGAGTCCGACTCGCACTTGACCGATTTTTATTTTCATCATGAGAGCTTATAAGTTTTTCTTGTATTCTGTACTTTAGAATAGATTGATAGAAAATATGAGACGCTTGGTATTTTTAGTGCTAACACACGAGTAAAATACGACTTCCTTTATACATATATTTGTTTGTTTGTTGGTTTATTTGTTAAATATAATATCATATATATCATATATAATACCAGCAACGTAGTACTAAAATTAATCTAATCCTCATCAATAACACCGATTGATAATCAACAGTTGAGTTTTGAATAGCCATTGCCCGCGATTCCGCTCGCGTAGTTTACCTATATGCATCGTAACACCATGTTAAATATCTTATAAACCTCAATAAATACTTACAAAAGGCACACGCTTGAAGATAATTTTCCAAATCTGACTGGTAGTCCCAGAACTTCACGCGTTTAAACAAACAAAAACCCACATTTTTTTTTACATCTTTTTCATAAATCTTCAAAACCACAGAAAACAAAATAAATAAAACTACAATATAGAGGAATAACCTTTATATTCATTTCTTTCATAGTTCATAGTCACTCTTAAACTATGTACTTAAGGATAGGTCACACCGTGTGCGGATTTTACAACATGAGAAAATAGCAAACTGCAAAACACACATACTATTTGTACCAATAATATCAAGTGTCGGCCGAGTTGGTCTCGTAGTACATTCGCTTTGCGATAATATAATACCAAATAATGTCAGATAACAAATATCTCATAAAACCTCCGATGTCACATCAACAACACCAAACTTTTCATAATCTATCATCGATCGAAAAAGTACTAGATACACAATCGGCGACAAAAAATGTCCTCACCAAATGAGCGCTCGTATGAACATTTGAGCGCGCTTCTTATTTTCTTTTTTTATGAAAACAAAGTCAAGCATTGCATTTAAGGTTCAATTTACGTTGTTGTATATTTATTTCAACTAGAATTATTATCTAAACACAATTGGTGACAGTTTTAAGAGAACTTTTGCACGGGATTGTGTATCCAGTACTTTTTTGATCAATGTAATCTATATCCAATGACACACTGTAATAAAAATAGTTGAAATTATTCTTGATCAATATTTGGGGCGATTCATGAAATACGTCATTCTTGCAGCATTCGTTTCGTACATATTATATTTAATGTCACAACCATAGCATGTATACTGACACTCTAGTACTCGTTTTAATATCTTAAATTTCTCTCATCAATCAAAAACATTGGGAGGTAGAATTTTTATTAAGGCTTTTAAAAATATAACGCTACGACAATCTTCGAACGTAATATTTAGTACATCTTGAGAATACACATCGAGTTACACTTTCTTAGATTTACACGAATATTTGACATTTTAAATAAAACTATCATTTCGGATTTTTTCAGACAGACAGACAGGTACTATATAATGACTTTTGGGACGTCTAAAACCTTAGATATCTTCTGTTTAAAGCATTCAAAACGTCTGAAACCAAATATTAATATAAATCCGCAAAAAAATCCAAAAAAAACAGTATAAATTAAAACAACGCATCACCAATAAACAAGAACGTGCGTATTTTACATATCGCCCACATCTATTACAACAAAGTGTTATATCGTAGGTCATATCAACTGTGGTATGTAGAATTTGTCAAATATTATTCAAAACATCAACATTATTTAAAAAACCTTACCACTTATTAAATTCTAAAGATCCCTTTGTATCCTTTTGATCACTATTAAAGAGGTATTTTCGATATAAGTTTTAATTTCGTGAAATATCCATAATATTTGAACTGTTATAATATTCCTAAGTACAAATACGCGACAATCGCGCACTACAGATCACGCCGAGATGCCATTAGTAATAAAAAATATTTCTTAACAACTACTTGTACTATATACAAAACTCGCATTCAAAATTTCAAAAGGATTTGGTAACAATTATAATTATTGTGAGAAATGCAAAATAAAACAATAAATATAAAATAATTTGTGATGATTGAACTCTAATAGGCGAATTCGCGATGACGTCAAATAAACTATGCGTTACATAAAATGAGACAAATATAAAAAAAAAACATTATAAAAAGCTTTAAGTAGGTCTACAACATGTAATTCAAATATTTATAAAAAAAATATCAATAAAAATCGGAAACACGAACTGCGCAATGGCATTATAACAACACATTAAACTGCGACGTAATAATAATTAAAGCGAATCTGAAGAAAACGAAGAAAAAAAAATCTCAAAGTATCAAAAACACGACAATCGACATACATTTATATCTTAAACATTTACTCTCGTACACAAAATATGTCATTTTCCTTATAAAACTAATTTTTACGTTTTTATTCATTACACGTAACAAACAGAGTGCGCGCGAACCTTATATATTTACCTTTTGTTAGCACATCACAGATCATCTTTGTTATCAATGGGATTGCATGTACCATTCGAATGTTGTAGACATTTTCAATTATATGAAAACCAAAATTTAACACTAAAATGTTTATAATTTGAAAAAAATACAATAAACATCACAAAAAAAATGTTTTTTCGTGAACTTTAAGATAATTATTAAAAAAAATTAAACAAAAAAATATGAAACAAAATGACTCATGCAACCCCAACGTTCAGGCACATCGAGCTAACAAAATACAGCCTTCCCAACGCGCACAGAGACCGAATATCTTAAAAATATCATTATATCTAAATATCATAAATTACTGTATAAACTTATTTTAAACTTAACGCTGTATCTCAGCTATATCCAAAGCTAATTCCTATTTGGCTTCTTTCAAGTTGAACCATAATTATGTCTTGTTTTAATCTAAATTATAAAAAAATGCCTTAATTTGGTATCGCTGTTACTAAAATTCGTACATTTTCACAATATGATTCGACAAACACGCACATACTGACGTGCTTATTTGTCGAATTCATACATATATGTATATATATATCGTTATAAGATATCGGATTGTATGCATTATAAAGGCAGAAACATACTAAGAAGAAAAATTAATAAAACATTTTATTCCGACATAAAATTTGCACATTTTTATATAAAGCAATATAAATACACAAGTGTAATATTTTAAATAAAAAACTAATACAACTACTAATAAAAAAAATCTTGAAAATCGATAAAAGGCGTATAAAATCTACGTACGTACATACAATCCGATATTCTATCATTATTTATAGCACTAATAACTTACTTAATCACTATTATTAATTCAATTAGGATTTGTGAAAAATATTAATATTGAGATCCATTTAACATTTTCTTTAGTTGTTTCTCAATACTGTTACATCTATAGTATAATGCAGCGGTTCCCAAATGGTACGGCTTCTATGGAACCCTAGGGTTCACAGGGTCACAGGGGTTCCGAGTTCCATCCGAGATAAATAAAACGTTATCAGACACGGAGTCCAATTTTATTACTATTTATAAGAATATCAAAAAATTCATCACATTAAATAGTTCGGTTATATTTTTGGTACAATAAATATTATTATAATTAATTATTAACATTTTTCATTTATGATTTGTTCTTTCAAGTCAAACAAGAAAGTATTCTAACTACAACACACAATCAGTTTAGTTATTATTAAAATGGGAATCCGTTAAAGAATACATAATCAATTAGGGTTCCATGGCCAAAAAAAATTTGGGAACCGCTGGTATAATGTACTAAACGGTAGGTACAAGACAATAATTAATAGTTCACCTTTTTATATAAACGCGAGCGAATGCGCCCTATACAATGTGCAATGTTTGTTTCCCTTCATATTCACATTCCCAATAAATCAATACAACACATAACAATTTAGGCAACGGAAGACGACAAAAAAAATTTGGAAGACGAAAGCCAAAAACTATGCTAACGTAAAAATAATTAACAAATTTATAAATGCTAATAATATGGCAACACTATAGTCCAGTTGTGTTAGACGTTAAGGTGTAAATAATAAATAAAAACATCATTACAACAGATATTACTTCGCTTAAAAATAATATCCATCTATGTATTTCCTTGATAAATGTTTTATATTACAAATACTACAGTTTTGATTTCAATTAAAATCGATTATATTTATAATTTTCCAAATCGATTTCACATAAAAAATCGATGTTGTCACAACACTAACGCAACTGAACTATAGTTTTAATCAGTAAAACATCCCTTTTGAACCATCTATCACATATCACTTGCTTTCACTAAACAAACTTGCACATTTCGCCTGGTGTCGACCGCAGCACCACTCTTATTAACGTAGCACTAAGGTTCAGTTTTGCACTCGCTTCACTTAAGTGTTCGTTAAGAAAAGGGATTTTGGAAGGAATTATTAGGACAGGATAATATCGCATATCAATTAAATGATAGCGAATCGATATTAAAGAAGGATTAAAACGGAAAATATTTTAAGCGGCAATATGTCTAACAGAAAATTTTTGAACATAGCATTATTTCAATGAAAACAAATAAAATCTAACCAAACCTAATAACACCACTGAGAAAACGTATGAAACGCGCGACACAACGAAATATCGACGCGAGTAGCGCCCACGCGAGCGACTCTATCGCCGCGTGGGTAAAACATATTAGGGTAAGGGGGGTAACCATAGGTAAGCGAGGGGTAAATATAGGTAAGAGGGGGTAAAGGTAAGGTAAGAGTGAGTAGTGTATCGATAGCGCCAGGCGGTGCGGTGTCGCTCGAAGGCCTCAAAAGAAGCCGATCAACTCCTACTCGATGTTCGTCCGCGGACCGTCGATCGGCATCGTGTGTAATACTTCGTCGAGGAGTTGGAGTGCCCTGGGAATATAATCTCAATTTATTATTCAAGATTAATTTAATAAAGGTAAATGGAATACAACGCGATTAAACATTTAATGTGTATTAATATCTAATAACCCGTACTTTCCAGCGTGGTGGACTATGGCCTGATCCCCCTCGCGTTGAATGGAGGTCCGTGCCCAATAGTGGGACGTTAAAAAGGGCTGAATACATACATATCAGGTACTTACTTCATCCCCCCAACGTGCGTTCACCTTGTCGTGGTGGGGGGGCTCAGTAGTGCCCGGCAATACAGCCGGGCGCGAAGCCAAGAAACGCACAAGGAGGTGGCCCACTTCGGTGGGCGGTGTACCATGCGGGTTGCTCCTGGGACTTCTCTGATAGCAGAGTGGACCTTGGAGCAACCCCGTGGTTTTGTGGTCTGCTTCGGCAGACCTGCCGTCGGGGCGTCGTAGTTGAATGCGTAAGCGATCCTGCGACGCCCCATTAAGACGGGGGAAGGCTTTGTTGGGTTTTAGTGGGTAGTACTGGCTTTGCCGGTGAGTCCCACACCTCGTGCGTAAATGCATTTCCCAACGTTAAAAAAAAAGGTACTTACTTCATGTTACTAACTAATAAGATTATCACAAATGTTTTATATGTATATTGTTAGTGTGACATTTTTAAATCAAATAAAAATTACCTATGCAAATGAACTTCGACCCAGCACGGCGTCTCTTTGATAGAAGTGCGCGGGTAGTCCGGCCCCCAGCCCTTCACGAACGACAGCCGCACGATGCACAGCCGCCGCAGGTCGTCCACGCCGATGCCGGCCGCTGCTGATAAGCCTGCATAATATGTTGGACATCACATTAATCTACTATATTTAAATAAGCAATTCTTGTATATTTATTTACTAGCGACTCACCCTCGCTTCACTTGGGTTCGTCCCTAGCTCGCTTCCCAATACAAACTTCCATCCCAATTTTCATCCCCCTAAGGGATGATTTCCGAGATAAAAAATAATTCACTCACTCACTTTCCAAACATTCATGGATTTGAAAAACATCTTATTTTAGTACATATTTTTCTGACTGCCATATTTTTAAGCGTTGTTTTGATACTAGCGGTATCAAATTTTCGTCTATACAAAGCTTGTCCTGACAATAACAAACACAAATTTATATAGATCGGCGATCTCGGAAACGGCTCTAACGATTTCGCTGAAATTTGGTGTGTGGCGGTTTTCGGGGGCGAAATATCGATCTAGATTAGTCTTATGTCTGGGAAAACGCGTGTTTTAGAGTTTTCATGCGGTTTTCTTTCGCACGCAAAATACGGTCGCTAATTTCGCACCCTCAGGCAAAGGCATCGTGGTCTGTTTATGTTGTATTTATTCAAATTTATATTATTTTTTTAAGAAAATTGTACTTTTGGCCAAAAACTCCTGAGCCCAACTCGGTCACCCAGGTACTATTATAATTTAAATGGAAACCTGTTTCTGTGCATGTACGGTTGCATATCCAGAGGTACGAGTCCCGGGTCGGATAAAAGTTAGTAGTTATTGAGTATTTCTGTTAAGAAATTCCCAGTAACAGAAACCGAGTTGGGAAGGAAGTTTTTCTTCCGCGTGTCTCGAGGTGCACATGTCATGTCGGTTCTACGCCTGATCCCTCACCGCGAGTATCGAACTGTCGTCCCATCGGAATTCGAAATTATTGAACCATTATAAATGCGAAAATTTGTATGTGTGTTACTCATTCTCAGTGAAGTCAGAGGCTGTTCGGATTTATTAACGGTTATTCTTAGAGAAAGGTTAATTTCAGAAACGTCCACGTATTCTTTACTAAGCGATCCACCATTATCAAATATTCGCCACTTATCATTTTAACTGGTCAATTTTCGATCATGAAACCTAAATTCGTCAAAAACCATTTTGCGGGTTTTAACCTTAAACCAAAAAGTCAATTTTGTGTTCAATGACCACCAAACCAAAATCTGGTTTAAAATAGAATTTCCGAGAGCCCTGATACAAAGCAATCACTAACATTTGTTCATGCCGGGGTGCGCGGGCTGTATGTGCCCGGCGACGGCCGCCGCCTGCGCCGCCGCCGCCGCCTGCGCCGTCGCCGCCTGCGTCTGCATCTGTCTGTGACACTGGCGCAAGTCGAACACCTGTAAATAACGACTCATGTGTACATCAAATTTGAATAAGACATTACATTTAAAACCTTTCAAAATATTTAAAACAAAAGAAATAACAACAAAAACAAAAAAATAAAACCAAAATTAAAGAAAAGGCACGGACGAAGTCTGGTATTCGCATACTCATTTAAAAAAAACATGCATGTAGAATATGTCAATGGCAGTATAAACAAAATTATAAACATCAATTTCCATATCTCTAACTTTTATAACTAGCTAGCCTTCAAATTTCACATTTAAGAATTACTTTTTTCTTAATATGATACTAATCTTGAAGTATAATAGCCTATTATAGTTTAATAGTTTAGACAGAACATTGTTTCAAGTTTGTCCGTCGGTAAAAATATTTTTTTTAGGATTTGTGTAGTAAATGTATAGTCTAAAAGTCACAAGAGTATCTCCCGAAAAGATAATAGTTTTATTTCAAACTAGCAGTACACACGGCTTCGCCCGCGTTCCGATATTAATATCAATTTTATAACATCAGTTACATATAAACATCAGCTTTACGTATAGGTTTGCTCGATTTGTTAACGTTTAAGATCACTATTCCGCTCCCTTGGGTAGTAGCATGATGATATCATCATGCCTATAGCCTTCCTTAATACACGGGTTGTCTAATGCAAAAAGAATTTTTCAAATTGGATTAGTAGTTCCTGAGATATGCGCGCTCAAACAAACAAACTGTTTTTTTATAGATGTGAAATATTGACGTAACCCTGCGCAAGCGCGCCTTACCTTGATGCAAGCGGAGGGGTATATCTTGTGCACGGCGTCGCCGGGCGCGCGGCCCGCCTCGCGGTCCAGGTAGTAGGACTGCACGAACACGGAGTGGTCGGACAGGCAGCGCAGCCACACGTCGCCCTCGCCGCGCAGGTCCAGCTGCACGCCCTTGCCGATGTGCAGCCTGGTGGTGTATACACGCGGACAAATGTACACAATGTGTGAGAAACATTGTTTAGTGATCATTATACACTATTGAAAAATAATAATATATAAGAAAAAAATCGGCCTACCATGATATATGAGAGTTTGTATGTGTTATTTATTTTATACATAATCATTTATCCCCATACAATATAGTAAAATCTATAAAAGGTACACTTTCTTGGATTTGATAATTACTGTTTAACTAAAAAAGTACATAAAAATCACCTACAGAAATCCTTTAAGAATCAATTTCTACAAACTTAGAAATTCATATGATTTAGCCAATACACTTGGCAAAAATTTTTGCAGTAGTAATAAAACCTAACTTACCTAGCGCGTTCACTCTGCTCTGTTCTATGCACATTACTGAGAGCTCCCAAACAAAACCTGTTTCCTCCCGATGGGTCCACATAGCCATCCACCTTAAATTTATTTGTAAAATAATTATATATGAGGCATCTTACTTAATACTCTTAAAAAAAATTAAAAGGATTCAAAAACTAAGAAGTCTGTTTATTGACTAAAAATCAATGATTTAAATATAATAATATATCATTCAATTGCAGAAAAATATGCTAAAATCATATTATCATTACTTTCTTAGATTTACACGAATATTTGACATTTTAAATAAAATTAAGTTTTCGGTTTTCTTTCGTGGATTTATTTTAATTTTTGGTTTCCGACATTTCAAATGCTATACAGCGATCATGGTTGCTGTAAACCAATCGGGTATACCGGTTAAGCTAATCGGAAACCAAAAATCAAAATAAATTCGCGAAAAAATTGAAAATATACATATATTAAATACAAATATATTATGTATGTTAAGCACTCACAGTAACATTCGGTCTGCTAGACGGCACTTTAAATGTTTCTCCCACTTGCGTGTCTAGTTCAAAGTAAGCCACAGAACACCAGTACTCAGGGGCGGGCTGACTTGACAAAAGACCTCCAGGGTTGCCATTATCTAAAATAAATAATAAATGTCATTAATTTTATTTATTAATTAAATAAAATACAGTGATAAAAACAAGATATTGATAAAATTAATATTGTGTCAACGTAGCTCTAAGCCATAAAGAGAGAAAAAAAAAACATAATATTGTTGACAAATATGTCACTCATATTACTTGTGCTATTTTGAGAATCATAACAATATCATAAATGCTAATTTGTAAGAATATGAATGTTACTTTTTAATACATACTCAACACTTTAATGTAAACTATACTAATATTATAAAGAAGTAAGTTTATGAGTTTATATGTAAGAAGTCATCTTCGAAGCTATTCATCTGATTTCAAAAATTCTTTCATTATATAGAATTGATACATTACACATAGTTGAATAATATAGTTTGTACAAATAGTTCAAACTACAAATACTTGTTGTACTTTATAGTAGAGCTTATTCCACTACTTTAAAAACAAACCCTTATTTCCAAGAAATAGATACATACATATACATGTAAATAAAATATATCTTTAGGCTTTCTTAAAGTAATAATGTGTATTTTACCAATAGAACTGACATTTAAAAATCAATAATTCTGTAATAAAAACACTTTTAGTAAATAAGCCGTTTGGACAAATAAGCACTGAGACGACGATTTGATGTACCACATATGGCAAATATTAATATAGTATAATAGCATCTAAACAGATATAACATGTTACAATGGTACTAACAGTAGTGGTGGTGATGCGCAGGCGCATCGACGGGCACGGGCGGCGCGGCGGGCGGCGGCGCCAAGCTCTGGGTGTACGTCAGTGTGTTGTTGCCCGTCCATGTTCCTATAAATAATTATATGAAATAATAGTTACAAAATATTCATTGATATATAAAAACATAAATACACATTTCCTAACAAATATATCTTTAAAAAGTGTCGTCGACATGTGATGTTAAGTCAAACCAAAGAGCAAATGTCGAAGGTCCTAATTGTCTAAACACAAATGCAACATTTCTTTCGCACACCACATTAAGTACTCTTTTGAACAAAACAACGTGCGTTTTAATTTTGTCATCCGAAAAGCAAAGAAGAAGAGAGAAAAAAACGCAAAATTTCGAATTGTGCGCTTTTTTTTTTGAGAACACTTTTGAGACTTTTGACACTTTTTGTATATTTACTTCTTTGTTAGATAAAAAAGCTCAATAAAAGGTTAGGCATACGGAGTCATAAAAATAAGAGGATATTAGGTATGAATATGGATGTATATAAAAGTAAAGTTAGATCAAAAATCGAAAAATGTGTAGAAGGAACTGAAAGAAGGAAAAATGTGCAACACAACTTTAGTACAATTTAGAATCGTTTTTCTCAGGAATAGTGAATTTTAGGGGGAAAAAATAAGAACAAATTTTGTAGACAATTGCACGATCTACAATTTTTGTCTGAACTATTTTATCATAAAACTAACCGTTTCGTTAAAAAAATTTTCATTACATATATAATGGTATCCCTAACGTTCGTATAAATTTTAAGCTTCTTAAGAACTTATGCAAGGGTGAATGTCTATTTCGACCGGACTATAATAAGACAATGAGCTGTCATGGAAACAAGTCCTTTCGTAACTGTATTGGATTTTAAAGTTTATAACAGTTAAACTCATAATTCATGTAATTATACTGTTTAAGTACAATAACTTTAAAAAAGTGTATCGTTAAGAACACCCAGGAGAAATGTACCGAGGTCCGATACACAAATGCTTACAGTGTTTATTATGGTCATGCAAATGCTTTCACTATGCATATTATGTGACAAAAATCCACATTAGTCCCCATTGTGATATGAATAAGAGAAAGTACATTTCTACATATGTATACACATAATAAAGTTATGACGAATTCAAAGTGATCCATTTATTATTTTAATTTGTGTTTGAGATTATAAAATCACCAAATTGTTCATCAATGCAAAAACTGCTAAACAGATTTCAATGGAATTTCTTTTATTGTATAGGTTAACTGTCCTAATTGAAATAGAGCATATATCTAATTAAAATATAGCAATAAAGCTTAAGACCCATGCATGACCCATGTCATTCCCTTTCATAGTTATAGACAAAATTCAAACACACAAAAAACAAATCCACAGACAAATTCAAATTATTTTATTTAGCATGAAATTATTATAATTTTATACTAAATATTATGAGGCTACCACTACTGCGGAAAGAAGTAGTCTCAGTCCTGAAAAGAGCTGGTGAATGATACTCAGCAGAGCTAGGTTTTTTTTTTCTTTTTATGTAAGTAAAATTATAAATTACAACATTGAAGTAACCTGGAGGCGTAGCATAATCTATAAAGAGATTATCGATCATATATTATAAAGAGATAAAGTTTGTGAGTTTGTGACGTTGTGGGGGGTAAGCTCTGGATCTACTAAACTGATTCAAATGAAATTTGGTAAAATAGCTTAAGACCCTGGGAAGGACGTAGAAAATCATCCCGGAAATCATCCCTGAAGAGGGTGAAAATGGGATCATCCCCATCTTCACCCCCTTCAGGGATAGTTTGTATGGGGAATCAACCTAGGGACGACGTGAGTCGCTAGTTTTCTATAAAATCCTTCACACACATACATTCTTTATTTTTTTCAGAATAGAAGCTTTTTGTACGTTTTCTGGGACCCTGTTGTATAAGCGTATACAATTTTCATATGAAGAATTACTGTGTAAATAAGTCACAAGCGTTACAAGTTTGTATTTGCTCCTAGTATTAATGTTATGTATGTTACACTTCTTGGGAAATTCATGAATATTTTTACGAACATACACTATGTATCGTATCGAGAAGCAATGGCAAATATTGTAATTTCTTTAATCTCATTTCTTAATGACACAAAGACTCGTAAGGATTAATAGTTGCTGCATTTCCCCACAATAAAACACCATAGGACTTAATACTAAGGAAGTAGCTAAAATAAACTATGAGAGCCATATATATCTATGTCCGTACCGAGACTTATTATTATAACCGCGACCACTGCAGCGCTGACTTTATTCGCTAACCCCTCAATATGGGAGCCCATTGCAATTTAGAATCCACAGTAATACGTAGGAATTTAAGAGATTTTATCTTTCAAAAGTGCTTATATTGAAGGGAAGCCAGCATTAAATTCTATACCAATATCAACAAGTTCACCATTAGGTGTTGAGAATTTTCTTAATTTTATTTCTTTATTATTTAAATTAATACATTTATAAATATAACAATAACAAAAACAATAATATCCATCAGACTATTATTATAAATGCGAAAGTTTGTATGTGTGTGTACGTTTGTTACTAAATCACGTAGAAACGGCTGGACGTATTTGGATATTTAATACACAGACCGACTATGACTTGGAATACCACATAGACTGTTACCTAGGGACATATCAAAAGCAAAGCAAGGTTAAGTAACAAGTAATGAATACCTTGTTGATGTTGCGTACGATGGGGCACGGGGCTCTGTTGGGGCGCGGGGCTGGTCGCTACGAAACCGTTCTGAGTCTCCGTCGACATCGCCGACACTGATGTCACTGGTGCTGCTGACACTTGCGACACTGCTGGTGTTCCCACTGAGAGGGATTAAATTATATAGATATACGTAGTATATTGACGTAGACATACATGTAAAAGTTACTGAGTAATAGTGAAATAATATCAAAAATTAATTCTAAAGTTCGAAAGCCTTGTTAAGATTTTGGTTCTATTTTATTACACTATTTCTTAGAGCAGAGTATTCTAATTATAAGTAATATTATAAGTACTAAATTACTAATTATGATTATTAAAATAAATAAGTACAACTACGCAAACAGTACAAAAATAGCTTAATTAATATTTAAAGGTATGTATGTCTGTTACCACTAGGTAACGGATGTACGAAACGAACTAAAAAACGGGTGGATAGATATGTCTGTCAATTAAAATTTAACGTCCACCCACAAACACTTCAGTATACCTTCAAAGGGCCTGTAAGGATGCCGAAATATCGGAACCTCTCAAAAATAAGTGTTAAACATGGTAAATATCGCACTTTACATCATAATAATATAAATTAATCAATTTTAAAACTTTAAATTAATCACCTGGTAAAGTTTGCGTTAGTTGCGTGTCTGTAGCAGTTTGTTCAGTCGTGAAAAAGGTATTATTGGTGCCGTCAAGTATCGGGGTCGTGCCACCTGGAGACATACTCACGGGCATAGCAGCTAAAAAATATTATTTATTATACACAACCGTAAAAAAAATACCTGATTAAATCATAATAACACATGGACATACAAAATAAAACAAATGTGACCAGCATTAAAAAATAGGTGCAAAATAAATACATAAGCTTACAATGATTCATTCTCTTTGGCAGCCACATTGCGCGGGCGTCCATTGTGTCAGGTGGCTCGAGTTTTGGCGCTATAGCTCTTTGTTGGGTCAAAACCATCTGTTGAGGACTAGGTATTGACATTCCTTGATTCATATTCTGCATTTGAGGAGTTCCAGGGTTCATCTGAGTAGGGGCTGATGCCATTCTAGGTGAAGTCATTTGGGGCACATTTGTTCCCATTTGAGGAGTCCTTGGCCCCATTTGTGGTGTTCCCGGGCCCATTTGGGGTGTCCCTGGACCCATTTGAGGGGTCCCTGGACCAATCTGAGGAGTACCAGGTCCCATTTGTGGAGTTCCTGGCATTTGGTTTGAATGGTTTGAGATCATTTGACCAGGCGAATGGCCCATTTGAGGCATGGGAGCTCCAGGTCGCAAAGACGGTCTCGGTCCATGTGTAGCAGAGAACATATTCGCAACGCCTTCTGGCGCTATCAAAACGAAAAATGCAAAACAAAAATTAACATGCATCGCAAATTAAACACACTCATGATAAATAAAATAAAACAAATATTATTAATATACTTGACATCTTACTCTGGCCTTGATTAATAATAATATTAGTTGTTTGGAACTGTTGATGATGGTGTGGTATGGTGGAATGATGGTGTCTAGGACTTGTTGCATGGTGTTGTATGGTGACAAGTTCCCCTGTGTCCATATCCATGCCATTCCCGCTAAGACCTGCGGTATACTCGTCTTTTACTAATCTACTTGGACCTGACTGCAATGTCAGTCCTGAGAGATCTAAAACAATTCACTTTATTGAGATGCAAAATTTTAAAGCTTTATTTAGTCAAACATAGCATAGCATAGCATATACAATAAAAATAGACAAGATCTTTGTCCTGATTTGTACATGTAGATGTTGATTTACTTTTTCATATTTATAAGTAAATTATTCTTAATTTATTTATTAAATTTAAGAAAGTTTATTTATAATCTATAAATGTAATAAACTAAGCATACAACAAGTTTAATCATTTTTTCCTTCTACGAAATTCCTAACATGTATTCACAAAAAAATCCCAACTATTTGTGACTCCGAACAAGATCAAACTCAGGACGCCAGGATCAACCAAGGTAATTATAATTGGGCATAACATATGCATTATTCAAAAGTATATATAAATTAAGCATTTTTTTTGTACTAATAAAATACTCACCAATGCCTGGTGACACAACTCTTTCATAATGATAAGGATTTACACAAACTGAGTCACATTTAAGATCAAAAGCAAACTGACAAAACTTGACATGCTTCAGTTCATTTTTGTGTAGGTCTGGCCAACGCCAAATTCTTGCATATATTACATGTGGGAATCCTTTTCTGCCTGCCACCTATATCAATATGACTTGGTTAAGCTTCATAATAAATTCAACTTAATTTGTCATTTTCTTTACATAGATATAAATTTTATCATAACAATTAAACTAGGAATGCTATAAAAAAAGTTAAATTTAATTATTTCAAGAAAATTTAAAACAAATATGGAAAAACTGAGTAAGCATTATTACCTGTAAGCGGCCATCCAGTGTACGCTGAATAGTAACACATTTGCTAGGATGTGCACCATTTGTTGTGATTGCTGTGATCAAGGAGTCCAATTCATCTCGTTTTTCTTTTAACTTTTTGACTAGGGATTCAATAGCTCTCTTAGAGAAGCCCTCGCTTTCCCCACCCTGCCTGTGGCACATCAGTGAGTGAACTATACTTAGGCAGGCATCTGCCGAAGTCGGGGCTGTGGTGTTCATGACTACGAAAAAAAATTTATTTGAAAATACTACTAACCGATTCGATAATACACAAAATAAATTAACATGTAAAAATATATGTATTATAATCATAATATATTACTAATTATATACAAATGGTTAAATTAACATATACAAATTACTCGTCTATTTATAACAGTTGAATAATTATTTAGATCTCTTTTAATTATGAAGTTTTAGAAGCTATTACCAACAACATCAACAACGGTAGAGATTTTCTCTCAATATAACATTGAAAAAGGAGTAATTTATAATTAATGATTTCTAAGAATTAATAGATCATTAGAAAATAAAATAAAATAATCATTTGCGTAAAACAGCCGAATGGCGAAGCCTTATTGCCTAAATAATTACCTGATGGTTAAAATTAAAACACTTCTAATTTTCATAAGTAATGCACTTTATATATAATTCTTAAATCATGTATATATTATGAAAATTGATTTCCTTTATTGCGAGATGATACCAAAACAGAACACGACATTTTAGCAATCCATAACCAATAGCCACAGATTAAGAATACTAAGCTGACTGACCAATAGCTTACCTACCCTACCCCAGCCTGCAAATTTATGATATTTGCAATGAAAAAAATACTAATCGATAGATTTTCAATAGCTCAATTTAACTACGTAGCCCTTTCAAATTGCTCACCTTTAATTATTTAATTAAAAATCAATAAAGTCTTTGAAAAAAATTTAATTTATCTGTATATTCAAACTCCTATATCTTTTGATGTATACAATATTTCAAATTGCTCAAAGTTCTAAAACACTGCTCAAGTTGCATTTGTAATTGCTCAAGTAGAGTTTTTACCAGCTCCACTTTCGCTGATTATTAAATAATTAAAAGTATAGTTGTAATAAATGTAACGTAGGTTAAGTGAGCGTGCGCATGCGCACCGCGCATTGTCGGTCGGCCTCGGCGGGCTTGGACAATCGTTCCAATTCAACGTCTTAATTCTGTTTCTCGGTGGATTTCTTTAAATTTATTGAATTTATGAATTGTTCACATTACGTGATTCCACTTCAGATATTATAACATAAAGAACTTAAATTTATTCAAACTATTTATATTTATTTAATAATTAAGGAAAGTGGAGCTGGTGAGAACTCTACTTGAGCAATTACAAATGCAACTTGAGCAGTATTTTAGAACTTTGAGCAATTTAAAATATTGTATATATCAAAAGATATAGAAATTTGAATATACGGATAAATGAATTTTTTTTCAAGGACTTTATTGATTTTTAATTTTATAATTAATGGTGAGCAATTTGGAAGGGCTACGTAGTTGAATTGAGCTATTAAAAATCTATCGATTAGTATTTTTTTCATTGCGAATATCATAAATTTGCAGGCTGGGGTAGGGTACCTCAATAGCTTTTTATATGTGATATATCTGTATAATGTATTTTATCTGTGACCAAGAAAAAGAATAGTGATGTAGGTATTTATTCGATATAATATAAAAACAAGCTGAATGTCATCAAAAATTTTAATTGTAGCTTGATTATCAATTATTATTATTTTGAGGTATTTGAAGTTCGAATATCAGTAGATATCAATACTTTGTAAGTATGTTTTGAAATGAAACCTTCTATTGGCAGGTTTGAGTATATTCATGTAAGTCGTCATCGACTGGTTTTTAACACTAACACTCAGAGTATCGATAGATGTCAAAACTAGATAAATGTAAACAGTTTTAATTTACAAATTTTCATTTAAGATTAAACAATTAATTTGAATTTCCAAAAAGAACAACTGTTTGTTTATAGTTTTAAGTTTTCACTTTTGTCGGCAGCCCTCATGACAGGTTTTTTTTTATTTAGATTTGTTAAAATTTGTTTAAAAGCATTTTCTACTTCTTAAAAAATAGTATTATTTCAAAATACTTGTAACGTGTAAAAAGTGCACCTAAAAAGTTCCAAATGGAATTTAAGAAAAATCTGAAATTTAATTAAAAAAAATATACTATGTAAAAAATCAATATATTACAGTAGCAAATATCGATAAAGAATGTTAACATGATTAATTGGTTACTCTTAATGTTTCGGATGAATTATTTTATATAAATATCATTCCTGATAAAATAATAAACATCGTTAATTAAATAGTTCTATTTTATATATTATTATGCTTTATGGAATTTCACGTTATTACATGAAAGTATTCATTTACATTAGTGCGATATTTGAAATGAATCGTCAAAATTTTTAATTCGTGGAGGTGCTGACATTGACAGCTAATTTTGTCAAAATTCCTTTTTCAATATTTTTCTTTTTTATACCAAAACAGCTTGAAAATTGTTAGATTTTGGAATATTTACTTAGATTATTAGCTGATCTTAATATATCCTAAATATATGTGTCTTCTCCGAATTGGTCAGAAAAGTGGGTGGACTTAGGTCACTAATTATACTGTATTTTTAGTGTTATGCGAATAAATTTATATTTTTATGATAATGAAAAATGAAGGGGGTCGATAACTCACCAGCTGATCGTGAAGGGATGACAAACAAACCAATTGTGACATGTAAGTGAAGTGAAATAAACTTCCCTTAACTTGTTTCGAAAATTTTGTAAACTATTAGTGATGCTTATAGGCGCTGGCGATTGGAACTTATTTTGTACCCTAGAGGCACCATTGGTAGCAGCTATACCTCAAGATTCAAGTGAATGGCGTAGATCTTATGGCCGAATTACTAAATTTGTTTATCTGGAAGCCTCATTTACAAAGTTTAATAATGAGAAACTGCAATCTGAGCTAAATCTTCTAAAGAGACCCATATTCCATATTTATTGGACTGACTGTGTGGTAAGACCCTAAATAAATTATTTTGAACATTCATTAAAACTTAAAAATAGGAGGCCTAATATTGTAATGCAATTAGGTTTAATGCAAGTTGTATAATTATTGTCTTAATGTATTCAACTATATAATTGAGATAATTTGCATGACAAGTCTCATTTTTACTTAATGTTTCAGGACATAGAATATTATAAAACTGTTCTTAGAGAAGACATAGAATCATGGCTCAAACATTTAGAAAGAAACAATGTTACAGACTGGATGATAGTTTTAGTAGAGACTTACGATATAAGAAAAACAAACAAATTATTACCAAGAACTACAGTTTTGGATAAAATTAAAGGAGATTTTGCTGTTAAACAGACTGAAGATAGATTTATTTCTGTTATAAATCCTATTAAATCTGAAGCTAGGAGTGCCGAATCATGGAGGGCTCTAGTAGCAAAAGTCAGGCATTTTATTCTAGTAGCATATAATAAAGCTCTGATAAAATTTGAAGAATATATGAGAGAGCAGAGAGAAAAGAGAAATGATCCGGAATGGGATTTTTGTAAATACTTCATTTTACAGGTCAATACAAATTCAGTTAAACATTATGTAATCAACCAATTAATTTATTGCCTTATTTTATAATATAGATAGTGTTATTAAATAAAACTATGATGATTTTAAGTCCTAATATTGAAAGTCTTCACAATGCCATTAGTAATAACAATATTTAAATAAAATAACATTGATAACATCTTTTCAGGAACAATTAGCATTTGTCTTAGAAATGCTGGGTTTATATGAAGAAGCTCTTGTTCAATATGATGAATTGGACGCCTTGTTTTCACAATTTGTACTAAATTCTAATGTAACAGAAAGTCCAAAATGGCTTGAAACATTCAAACAACCTGTAACATCTTGGCAAGCCGTAAGATTGACAGCTTTAGTGCCACAGGCTTTAAGGGAATTAATTATTAAGAAGAAGGCATCCCTATTAGACTTTAGAAGTTATTTGTTTCAACGACAAAGTGCCATGTTATTACTTACTTTTAAGCCATGGGAGGTAGGTTTACATTTATTTGAAATTGAACATCACATAAATAACTTAGATTATATTTACAATCTTTTAATACTAATATTAAAATACTTATATAACCAATTAGAAATAAATGATACATTTTTTATACAAGAATATTAAATATATATAATAATGTGAACATACAATAATACAATTAATAAATATTAATATTTTAATAAGTAAAATGGTATAAAATATTGAAATCTTTATTTAATTCTGCTTGACCACCCATGTGTAAAATGCTGTAATTGCTATAGTCATAGTTGCACAGTTACATTAAAAGTGTAGGGTTGCCAGGTGTCAAGAGAAAAGTATACAGGTTTAATATTATAACCATTTTATCTTTTTAATAAAAAATGGATGGAAAACCCTTTAAAAAGATTATAATATTTCAATTTATAAACATTAACACAAATATTCTGCAACTGAATAAATTTGTTTAGAATTTTATCTTTACAATGATAATTAAATTATAAATAAATAGTAATATGTAGTAATGTAAAAACTGAAGACATTATAATCCTTTAAAATTTTTATGATTATATTATAAAATTTGATGATAGAGACTTAAGTTAAAATATTAAAGTTTATTAAAAGAATTTCATATACTATTGTTTTTCTGATTTCATATAATTGTGTCATCTATAAAAAATATCTTATAATAAACGTTGCATAACTTTAAATTAATATTATATGCTAATTTAGATAATTAAAAGGCATTACCAAGAAAACGAAATTAGTTAATTTAAGCCAAAATGGCCTAATTATTATTTTATGTACAATTATTACACAAACATATATTTATATAAATACTAGCAGTACCCGTGGCTTCGCCCGCATTCAAAATCGCTCCCATTGTTTTGGAGTCCATATGGAATATATGTACATATACACAGCGATTTTTATATATATAACTAGCGGCTCACCCTCGCTTCGCTCGGGTTCGTCGCTAGGTACGTTTTAAATAGATATAAAAAAAAAAAATCTTTCTTTCTCACATTTTAATTATATGTTTTAATACTTACCTATTCCGGACTAAGAGAAATCCAAAAATTAAAATATCATAAAAATTGGAACGCGGTCGAACGGGATAAAAAGTATCCTATGTCCTTCTCCTGGCTCTAAACTACCTCCCTGCCAATTTTCAGCTAAATCGGTTCAGCCGTTCTTGAGTTATAAGCGAAGTAACTAACACGACTTTCTTTTATATATATAGATATACTAGCAACTCACCCTCACTTCGCTCGGGTTGGTCCCTAGCTTGATTCCCCATACAAACATTGACATGATTCTGGGATAAAAAGTCTATCTTCTTACTAAATTTCATCTAAATCGGTTCAGTAGAACCAGAGATTACCTCCTACAACTTCACAAATTCACAAACTTTACCTCTTTATAATATTAGTATAATATTATATTCTTTATTGCACTTAAAATATGATACAGAAAAAAAAATAACAAAGTAGACATAGTTCACAAAGGTGGACTTATCTCTAAAAGAGATCTCTTCCAGTCAACCCTGGTTGTGGAAGGAGATGTCAGCGGGCAATATAGTGCAAAAAAAACAAACTAAATATATACTAGAAATAAAGGTAATAATAACCACTTATACATACATACATACATACATACATACATACATACATACATATATATACATACATATATACAAAAATATATAATACTATACATATATAATACCTAATGTAAAGACTACTTATACATACAAACATATATACATATACATAGTTAATATATAAAAAAAATGTAAAAAGGGAGAAAGGTACTGATTGATATTGTCTACATTTGTGAGAATAAATAATTTTTTAATTTACATTTAAAAACATGAATGGATGGCTCTCATGGATGGATTTGGGCAGTTGGTTCCATAGTACTGCGGCATGGACAGAAAAAGAGTTTTGTTGGAATTTATATGCTAATTTATATATAAATAAATATTTTCATGAATATGTTGAAATTCATTTTTAAATTGACTTAGGTCTTTTAACTGATGTATATATAAATGTTTACAGATCGCATCCCGTTGTCTAACAACAGTCCACAACACATTAGTAGAGATGTCTTTACTTAACACCCACGCGGTGGAGGGCGCGGCAGCGTGCTGGTCGCATCTCGCCTGCGTGGAGACGCTACGTGCTTGTGAACGGTTGTCCTCAACTAATAGTGCTTTGGAAGCGTGCACTACTATGCATGCGCCGTTGTTGCATAATGCTAAAGATAAGGTAAGTTGTGAAGTGTAAAGTATTTAAATAATAAATATAACTACATAGTATAAAACAAAGTCGCTTCCCGCTGTCTGTCTGTCCCTATGTACGCTTAGATCTTTAAAACTACGCAACGGATTTTGAAGCGGTTTCTGTAATAGATAGAGTGATTCAAGAGGAAGGTTTATATGTATAATATATACATGCATATTATATTACAGAATAACCGAGAAATTGAAAGATTTCTATTTAATAAAAATGCACCTAGGGACGAACCCAAGCGAAGCGAGGATGAGTCGCTAGTAGTATAACATAGCGTAATATAGTATAGCTATAGGATAATATAGCATTAAATCCAGTGTAAGTCCTACTTTAAATAAAGTGGTCATGTATATTCCCATATATGGTCGACCACCCATTAAGCCAAGTTTTCATTATTAGTGTACTCAGTATATTATTATTAAATATATCTCCAACCGCAGAAGACGTTTACTTTAAAACACCCAAAACTTACCACAGTTGTATCGTATAGTGAATCTAAGAAAATTGTGTTAAGTACATTTTTGAAGTGGTTGACAGTCTTTATTATAAGGAATAGTGCCAGGAGAGTCAAGAGGCTAATATTAAGGAAAATGGAGGAGCATCATACATATTGAAAATTTGATGTTTTTAGAACGGAATCTAACCCATATGTTAGTCGCTTATAAGGTTCAATTTTGCGCGATATAGTTACTATATTCGCTATTTATGAATAGATTTTATTCTTTTTTTAAGTCATGGTATGGTACGATATGGTAAATTCGGGCTTATTTACGCAACTCGACGTCTGTGCGCCTATTTTGCGTGTGTGGGAAAATCATTTACACTCAGTATTTAAGTAATTTATGCTCAGGTGTGGTTTAATATTTTAAATAAAAATCTACTCAATTGGAATATTAACTTTTAAGTAATTTTAAATTCATTGTACCGATTTTAACTAAAAAAATATTAATAGACAAAATAATTAAGATACACAATTAAAAATACAGATAAAACAATTTAAATATATGTCAAAGGTCTGTTGGTGAGATTTTACCTAAAAAGTAAGTTATTGATAATTAATTTTAAACATACAAATTAATTTATTAATATATGTATTTTCAATTAAAACAGTTGCACGAACTGGGCAAGTTATGCGGTCTTCTCCCAGGCTCTTCGGACCCCACATCAGAACAGTTACACCTAGTAGTTATGTTATCGGCCGGTATGGGCGACAGTGAACCAAACAACCAGCAAAGCCCCACAGACAGACTGAAGGAAGCGTTGTGTAGTAAGAACAGCTTTCAGCAATATTACTTGGAATTAGCTGAGTTGGCTATGGGAACGTATAAACATATTGGCAGGTTAAGGTGAGTATAGAGAGGGAGTTTGCATTTCTTAAATTAAATTTATAATTTATTGTGCTAATTGTTTATTTGCTACCGACTTCAAAAAATGTAAAGATTTCGTGTTAATATGAATTTGAGTTGTTTTTTAGAAGATGGAAGTATTATAACTTATATTTTTATCATATGGTAAAGAGGAATAGAGCTTGCGTATTTTTAAACATTACAACAAAAAATGTGTCACTATGTTATTTAGACATTTGATCCAAATCAGATCTTAGGGTTTTCTAATTGAGATGTTAAAGCAAATAATAGGGGTTAAAGTATGAAATTGCCGATTTGTACAGAATTTTTTTTTTAATTTAACATATTTATATAATCAAAATAATTACCATTCAATCAAATCAAAGTTTCCATCACGAAAGCGTTTAAACCAAAATCGCACGGTGCGTTCATTAGCAGTCCCCTCTCCAAATGCAACATTGATATTGCGAGCTGTTTCTGCCGCGTTAGTACCGCGTCGAAACTCGTATTCAAAAATCACTCGAATTTTCGAAGTATCCATCTTTCTTGTCTAAGCTGAATAAAAAAACAACTGAAAGGCGCTAATCCAATGTTGCACATTTTTTAAAAGAAGAACTACATAAGTACCATGTGAAAAAAGTTTCACTCAAAAATCTCAAACCATGAAGGTTCTATGTCAATTCGAAGTACCTATTACAATAAAACGGTAATTACATAGGGGTTAAACCCCTATTACATGAAAATTTTGGATTCTCTCCATTTTAACTCCAAAACTTCCAAGCATAGAAGTCTGAAATAAATACTATATAGACAACCTTATTTATGACTCACAATCTGTAGAAAACCACACAAGTCTAACTTTCACTTTGCTTATAATTTCCAGATTCGCTCGTCACATAGGCCGTGACTTGGCCTCATTTTATTCAGAATTAGGGGAAACCAGCAAAGCCGTAGTGTTTCTGATGGACGCTTTGCGTTCGTATGAGGAGCAAGGCTGGAAGGACTTGGCGGCTCAAACGCGATTAGAATTAGTTGCAGCCGCTAAGAAAATGAATGATGTTGATAGGTTTGTTTATGATGTTTACTTATTAACAGTTGTGTTTTTTTTTACGTATTGTTTTTTTTATATGTGTCATCAATAAATAAGTAGTTTGTTTCTAAATAGTTTTTTAAAGTTCTTTTCGTCCGTTTGGAAAATATGCCTTATTTAATTATTTATTAATTTATTGTTACTTTTATAAACAGAGAGTTGTGACATACGGGCTGAAATCTTTAGCTATTTTTGTTATGTTACGTCATAGAAGTATAACTTCTTACGTGCGTACATAAGTACATACACGTTTTTGTTTTTTTTTAATGTATGTACCAAATTAATTTTAATTTAACTCTTGACTAATCCAGACAGATATAAATCTGGAAAGTCTTAGTTTCCCTAGGCACACTGTATTAATATATTACGTTTCCCATATTAAATATCTTAGTTTTTCCTGTTCTAATATTTATTTCTTACATTTTACAGATATACAAAGCTCTCTGCTAGAATAGCTAGTACCGCCGAATTAGAGATTCTAGTCAGAAATTTTTATTTCGAAGAAATGTTAAAGTCAATAAGAGATAACCTTGCGGATAAGCAAGAGTCAGTACTGACAGAGCTCAATGATTGCTTCAAAATTATATCAGCAACGCTATTGCCGTCCGAACGTAAATCTTATATCACAGATGATAAGGTCCAATGTCGCTTGGTCATAGAAAGTTATATGCCCAAGGACGTGATATGTACTAAAGCAGCGATCAGTGTGGAGATTTTTCAAGAGAAAACGGAAAAAAGGACCCCAGTAAAGAGTTATAAGACTGATTTAATAAGTGTTAGTGTAGGTAGTTCCCCGAAACGGTCCACGCCGGAGGAAGGCGATAGTGAATCTAATATCTTAGTTACTAGGTATGTATGAGAATATGTTCTTACCCTTGTTCACGTGTAGATGTGTTTGTTAGAGTTCCAATTATTTAGGAGATAAATAAGTTAAAACTTGGCTCTGATAAAGTTTGCTAGACCAAAAAACTATTTCAGAAAGTAAATAACTACACTTTTACTGTCCATCTACACATACATATTTATCTATACTAATATTATAAAGAGGTAAAGTTTGTGAGTTTGTAAGGTTGTAGGGGGTAATCTCTGGATCTACTGAACCGATTCAGATAAAATTTCGTAAGGAGGTTGTTTGAGACCCTGGGAATGACATAGGATACTTTTTATTCCGGAAATCATGACTTAAGGGGGTAAAAATAGAGATCAAAGTTTATATGGGGAATCGACTTAGTGTGTATATTATAATACTAATAATAATATCCAAAATGTTTTTCGATTCCAGTATAAGGCTAGACGATTTAAAACCTAAAAATCCATTACTAAACCCAATGAATATAACCTCAAAGTTACATTACAAAGAAGATAAAAATCTTCAAAAAGCTACAGTTGAGTGTCAAAATACAAAAATGCCTCTAAGAAGATCTGACAGTAGCAAATATAGGAAACCATCTGCCACTATAAGAAATAACTATGAAATTTGCTTTAAAAATAGCAATTTAGTACTGACACCCGGTATAAATGAAATAATGGTCGAGTATATAGCGAATAAATGTGGAAAATTTAAATTGGGACAAATATCATTATTAATAGAAGACAAATTAGAGTTTCTATCCAATGTCCTGGTTTCCAGTAAGATGGGTTATGAAGTGGAAACTCAAGGTGTTAGTGTGTTTTTAAATAAAGTTGAGCCGAAGAAAGATTTGGTGGCAGGGTTAGAGCAAGATATGGAATTGGTTGTGACGAGTGGAAGTTCCAAAATACATGAGGTTGGTCGCCATTTTTGGTTCGTTTTGCCTTTTGTGTATGTATAATTTTTAATCAATTTTAAAATAATAAGTGTCTTAAATATTTTGGTAATCGCCAATATCCTAATATGCGTGTGATTTAAATAAAGGTTTTTTTTTTATAATCGTTATTGCTTTTGAATTAAGCCTATATTGATATGTTTTTATGTAATCTGTGACGTCACGCCAATCGCGCAAACTGACGAGCATTTAAAGTATCCGTAAGGTTACGATATTAAAAAAAATTTAGTATTTTTTTTTTCAATTACATAACGATGTAAGTTATTGTATTGAAATTTAAAAAAATCATGCATATTCCCTATTGATTGTAAACCGACTGTAGTGGTACTCTTTATATGAAAGAAGGTAAAAATCGAAAAGCAATAGGACAGAAACATTATTTTTTATACAACGATGAAGTTCCATAAAAGTTTTTTGATTTTTTTTTATTATTTAAATAAAACCTTACACTTTATAAGTTAGCCATAATTTAAATATATTATAATTTTTCAGAACGTCTCGATTCTGCTGAAAACATCAACTGGTCTTTTATTAAGGTTTGCAGATGAAGAAGCTCCGATGTCGAGGGAACTATCCATACCTGTAGAGGCCATAGGACCATTTCAAACAACTAAGATACCATTGCGACTGTTCTCAAAGTTACAGCCAAAGAGGGAGAAAAGCATCGAACATACTGTAAGTAATGTTTTTTTTTGTATAATTGTGTGTGTGTACGTGCGCGTGCCCGTGCGTGTGTGCGTTCATCGATTTCAAAATATGAGGTGCTATTTAATTAGGCTGGATTTTGTGTGATCAATACTTACTAATATTATAAATGTGAAAGTGTTTTTGTTTGTTTGTCCTTCTTTTACGTCGAAACGGAATGGCGTATTGGTATGATTTTATGTGTGAAGATAGTGGGAGGGCTGGAGAGTGACATTGGCTATTTTACCGCGGAACATTATCTTGTTCCCACGGAAAAACACGTTATAATACAACTCAAAAGATTATTTATGATCAGAATTACTTGAAACTTGGTATTAATGTTCCTCAATAAAATTAAATAAACACGTGTGGTAAATGAAATAAAATAGACGATGAGTTTTAGCGCGAGCGCAGCCACGGGTTCTGCTAGTATACTTTATATTCACCAATTGTAAACCAATTTTTATATTTTTTACGAATAAGTCTATGAATAACAATACATTATACGTTTTTACTATTGTTTGTGTGTATGTGTGTGTGTGCGTGTGCTTGCGCGTGCGTGCGTGCGTGCGTGTGTGTGCCATCTTATAATAGTAATGTGACTATGAATACAAAATGTTATTTATTTATTGTTTTTATTTGCAGGTATGGCTCACCTGCCCATGGTGGGACTCTGTCACAGAAGTACCCCTCGACTTTTCCCCTCCAATGATAGTCTCATGGCGTTTATTGACATCGAATACAAGGAAATTCATACACGTCACGCTAAAATCTACTGTAGCGCATTTCATACAGTTTGTACTGACTGAGCCCAAGTTAGAATGCGATGGGAATAATACTGTGTCCGATTTAAATCCTACAAATGCTGGGGATATGGTAAGTGATTTGAATCAAACATCATGTTTATAGGAAAGAATGTGTGTTTGAATTCTACTATTCTGCTTTTTTGCCACCTTTTATAGTACAATAAAAAAAAAGCGCTGGATTTGAGATACAACTTAACAAAATATATAAATTAACCGTAGTAGTATAGGTATATTCTGAAAACTGCCTCGGTAGTGTAGTGGCTAGCATGTACGGTTGCACACTCCGAGGTCCTGGGATCGAGTCCCGGGTCGGGCCAGTTTAGTTATTGAGTCTTACTGTATAGTAAGTCTCAGTAACAGCCCGGAGTTGGGAAGTTGGCGGTGTTTTACCCCCGTGCCTCGGAGAGCACGTAAAGCCATCGGTCCTGCGCCGACACTCTCACTGGTCGTGTAGAGTGTCGTCCCACCGGAGTATGAGAGTGAGAGGAATAGAGAGTGCACGTTGTGTCTGCGCGTACACTTGTGTACTATAATATCTCCTGCGCAGTTGGCTAGTCTCAATGAGATTGGCCACCGTAGCCGGAATCGGTCAGGAGAACATCATCATCATCATCATATTCTGAAAAAATTAAATGAATATTGATGAATAGTTACGTTAATTATTTAATATTAAATTATTATTTAGTTTTTATACATTATTATTTCTATAATCATAAAAAAATCATGAAAAATAATATTTTTTCTTCCAGACCGTTGCATCAGACAGTACTACAGCTTCATTTATGTGGGAATTACTTAAAGATCCCCTAGTAAAGGCTGGACCCATGAAAGCTACATTTCATGTACAATACAGACTTGTTAGTGAAGAAACGTCTAGAAACTTCCACTGTCCGTTCGATATTCAAGATTATACTACGCTATTTGTGATTAGAACTAAGTTGGAACCAGGGAAGGGATCGGACTTCTGTAGGGCATCCCAAGTGTGCTGTTTACAGCTTAATGTACAAAGGGTATGTATTGTAATGCTATTTAATATATATATATATATATATATATATATATATATATATATATCTAGATTATTTTTTTTATATATTCAGCCATTTTTCAACTTCCTCAGTCCCACTGCTGGGCACGGACCTCCTTTAAATATGAGGGGGATTAGACCATAGTCTACCACGCTGGCCACGTATGGATTGGCGGACTGAGCATGTCTTTTGAAAACTTGCTAGATTCTCACAGACATGCAGGTTACCTCGCAATGTTTTCTTTCACATGTGATATAACATTTATTAACATTTTACAGGTAAACGAAACAGACCATACGTCACTGATGTACGAGGTGTTGGCTGACCAGACCATGTGGGCGGTGTTAGGGCGTACTGCTGGTGTGTATTCATCCTTTTTTAGAGTCCCACTGCTGGGGACGGGCTCCCTTCAATACGAGGGGGATTATTATTATAAACTAGCGGCTCACCCTCGCTTCACTCGGGTTCGTCGCTAGGTACTTACGTTTTAAATAGATATAAATAATTATTCGCCAGCGTTAACCATATAAGTTTTAATTTTTTTTCGCTATTTTTTCTGATGTTTTATACTTATTATTCCGGATTAAAAGAAATTCAAAAAAAAGTTAATACCATAATAATCGGTCCTGCCGTTCTTGAGTTATAAATGGTGTAACTAACACGACTTTGTTTTATATATATGTTTACCTTATTTTATATTTTTCTCTTTATTAAAACTTTCCGTGTACTTTAAGGAACTTACGAAAAAAAATTAGCTGAATTGGTCGAGCCGTTCTCGAGTTTTACGCTTAGCAACATTCATTTTTATTTATATATCAGGAGTAGGATAATTATAAGGTTTAGTTTTTTTTACCAAGTATAAAAGTTATTTAACATATAAGTTTGTCTCTTTCTCGTGTTGCATTTTCGTTTCATCGAGTTTCAAATTACAACGATTCTAAAGAAGTTTCACTTCAATAAAAAGGTGTTAAAATATAATATTTGCAGGTGTAATAACAATGGAGTCGAGCACGGCGGAAGGGCAGTGCGTGTCGCTGGACGTGATGCCGCTGGGCGCCGGCTACCTGCCGCTGCCCGCCGTCCGGCTCTCCAAGTACATTGCAGCTAATACTAGAGGTAAGTGCTTTGCTTTGTTCACCGATTTCTAATAGGAGGTGTTTAGTTTGGTGTATGTTAGGTTTTTTGTTACGTGATATGTGCGGTAATTGTATGATTATTTTATTTTTGAATAGGTTATAATTTATTGAGAAATCCATTAATTACGTGAGCTGCTTTTATTTCAATTTAGACTCCCATCTCACAATGGGACAATTCAAAAGGAGTGAAAGATTTTTTTTATTTTCTGTATAAAAATATCTATTTTTATAAAATTGACGTGAGATTTCCGATTATATTCCCTCAGTTTAAATGAGGTTTTACTGGACTCCCATTTTGAGTTCACGTAATTAATGGATGCAAAGTATTTCTCATATTTTGTTCAATTCAATTCTCTTGATAATGTTTTAAAACATGCCAGTATGGAGAAGACACAAAGGACTTTTTGTTGTTAATTTTGTATTTATTTAATTTATTAAACAAAATTTATATAAAGACTAGTAACCCTTTGCATTTATTTTACGAAAGTTTTCAGTTTTTTTTTCTGATTTATTGATAAATATCATACCGGTAGCTCATTTTTACAAAAAATCATCAGTCAACCTCTTTCTATCATGTATTAAATCTGTATGTTGTAAACACTTTAATTCATAATATGTAACGATGAAATACATATATAATAATCATTACAAACTTTCAGATCCAAAGAAAGATATATCTGCCCACCCAAGGCTCGAGCCGTTCAGTCCGGGGCAGGTGTACCACGCGGGCAAGGCGAAGCAGGTGCACGTTCTGCCCCCGGCGCCTAAAGAATTTATAGATGTTACTATCTGAATATAAATGTATGTATATATGTATGTATGTACATTGTACATATATGTGTGATGAATTCTAATGGTATGTCAGTTTTTGGATTGCAAGAACAATAACTAAATGGAAATGGTCTTTGAGCTAAATCAAGTGATTTTATCCTATGGTCGTCGATGTCAGTGATTCTCAAACCGCCAGTGCGTAATTGAATTTATTTATTTTTTATTTAATTGTAATTTAACAAAAAATACCCATGAGAATATACTCTTATTAATAACATATTTTTATTTGGAATTTTGTACAATATTTCTTTATAGCAAATTAACAACAAAATACTTTAATAATAACATTAACTAACAAAATTATATAATTTTGTTTTTCATATGAAAGCGCTTCTTTTTTCTCCTACTACGTTATTGCGCACGTTTAATAAGGGAACTGGTAACACTACGTCAATATATTGTAGCAAAAAGTTACAACTCAACTTGGCTTTTTAACGTCCCACTGCTGGGCACGGGCCTCCCTTCAGTACGAGGAGGATCAGACCATAGTCCACTGTCCACCACGCTGGCCAAGTGCGGGTTGGCAGACTACACATTTCTTTCGAAAACTTGCTAAGTTGTCTTAAACATGCAGGTTTCCTCACGATGTTTTCCTTCACCGTTAGATAAGTAATAATCATGTTGGAAATGATTCGCACATGAAAATATCAGAGGTGCGAGGGATTTGAACCCGGTTCACTCGGTTCCCGAGCGAGCACGTTACCACTGTGCTACCACTGCCTTAACTCGGAGTATGTAGGAAGTAGTAATGCTATAAGTAGTGAATTATTTCATTAGCACATAAAGTGAGACTTGTGGGATTATTTTATTTTTATATTTTCCGATTAGTGATCCTAATGAAATAGTCAGTCTAAAGAATTATATAGACGGAGTCCGCCAAAATAAATGTCAGTCAGAAATAGTAGCGAGAATTGTTGTGTATACTACTATTTTCGATTTTGCTATATAGATCGTTTACTTTCTTTAAAGAATTAGGGAAATTTTAAGTATGTTATTACATACATTTTAAGTTTAATTAATATACGATTTTTGAGGATAAAATATTAATAATTAAAATAATACAAGATTCTTTTATATTTTTAAACCATTAGTTCTACCTTTTGAAAGTTAGTGATTATTATTTATTTACATAACAAATAGTATACAAATTGTCATTTGTATACTATTTTAAAACATTATTGTTTGACTTCATGTTTGGTTCTATAACACTCTGTCTATATAATTCATTAGTCTGAGTCAAATATATTGTCCTTTAAAATGTTTATATATAATAATTTTATATGAACTGGACGTTAAGTGGTGATAGACAGTAGCCACGCCTACTATAATGACGTCATTGTTACAAATAACTGTTCACTTTCAATTACTCTTTTAATAAAGCTATTTTTTCTGTGTATAATATAACCTATTGCGGTATATTTCCAAATTTTCGATATTACTTATAATAGATTATTGGGAAGTCAATGTTCTATGACAGTGTTACCGACTTAAAACACAAAAATAAAACATTAATAAAAGAAATTCAAAACGATCCATTGATTGATGAAGTATCACTTGATGTTATCCAGTTTGTTAGATGCGATTGTAAATTTTAAACATGTTTAATTCTTCAAGAAAAATGTCGAAAATATGTGAGGGGTAAGGAAAAGGAAACTTGAAATTGTTCTTATGATGTAAACACAAAATATTTTAATGATATTTTCTAACTAGATAGCTTCAGGCTTTAAAATTAACCAATGCATAATTAATAATAATGTATGTATAAATGGAAAGTCTCTCTTAAATATAGTTAATGTAAATAGATATATTAATATTGTATTATTATTAATAATATGGTCATATTAAACATATTATAATTTCAAAATTACCTAAAGATTTATTTTACTAACCATACATTTTTATGTTAAAATCCTGGTTTAATTGTGAACAATGTAACTTTTTTAACATATAAGATGGCACGAATTAATAATAATATATGTAAGCTTATCAACTTTTCTATATATATTAATTGCAGTATTTTTAAAGTGTTGGACCATCAAATCCGTGTGATAAATGTTGTATCTTTCCATAGCTTAATAGTTATCATTGCTAGAATTAGTGTGCAGTATATTTTCATGGCATGTCTATATAAATTACATTTAAAATTAAGATTTAAATGTAATTATTAATGAATACATTAATATTTAAAATCCATTAAACCAGGCAACACAAAAAAATAATTTTTACAAAACATCAGAATTACCATCTCAATCTGTTATAAAATATATTTTTTTCTTGAGATTTTGATCTCAAAATGTTTTTTTTGTTTAAATTTATTAAGTGCTAAATATATTGTCCAATATGTATAAATATTATATATACTTATTACTTAGTGAATAGTTGAGCCTTTGCAATATTATAGTTGTCTGTTGTAACGTGTTAGATTAGCTTTGTATAGTCTGTAGAGACCAGGTTATATGCATATATAACCATTTTTTTAGTAACATTTATAATATATAAAACATAGATAATAAAAAGTATAAAAATATTTGCATCTCACTTTGTCTCTGTTCAATATTTTATACATAAGCAAAGCCATACTTTATTTTATTTTCTTTTTTTTTTAGTGTAGTTAAATATTGTAGAATATCTTGTCTTCTTAGAGAACTTTGAATTCTCTTATATTTATTTCTATAGACTGGAGTACAAAATGGGTTCAACTTTGAATTGGTTATTATACGCGACGCCATACAGTTATATTACATTATGATCCTAGTCTATACGCTTGTCTTATTTCTTGTGACATATGAATGGTACAAGTAAAGAACATGGAATGTCTCAATTTTTTTTTGTTTTGTACTGGTAACAAATCTATGTCTATGGTAATTGCATTCTCTCTGGTTTTTACAAATACTCAACGGATGTCGCAAATAATACGTTTTTATCTATGCCCAAGGCGAAAAGAACTGGTAACGTCCATGGTCCAGGACATACCGGTAAAGAAAGAGGATTGTTCAAAAATGTACATCTACATAGTAAAAAGTTACTGCATACATTGATCTCAATAAAAATATACCTTCTAGACTTTAAATTGCTTTTTTTTCTCATAATTTATTCATTAGATGTCAGTAGATATGTGTTCTTTGCCTGTGCCCTTTATATTAAAGGAGTTATATTTGGTGCTGAAATAATGTTATTCACCAAATTATCTCGTTTAAGTTACTTATGTTATGTATTCAATTTAGGTATTCATTATTTACTTATTTACTCAGTTATGTTGTATGAAATATGTTATACATGGTGTTTAGTAATCATTATCTTAGATAAGATTGTACTAAAATATAATCAATAATTTTATCATTCTTTTGTATGGAATTATAAGCAAGTTAGTTGAAAATTGTTGCAAATAAACATAACTTGACCTTATTATTATAAATATAAATATTATAATATTCACAACTTTTTCCCTTTTCAATTTACGTTCTATCATTTTATATCATACAGATACTAATTTGCTTATATTTTCCCATACGGTGGTGTATGCAAAAATCCTTAATATTATAATTTATGTGATCCGAAGACATTATTTTATTCATAAAACCAAAGGTATCACCCAAATTCATAGTACTTTAAACATCGAATCATTACTTTATTGTGCTTAATATATTTTTTTGTATGAAACATACTCATTATCCTGTATAGTTAGAAGCTTGATATAGTTATTGTTATAAAAATGTATAGATTGAAATGTTGTGGTAGATTAAGCCCCTGTTTTTTTGTATTATAATTGGCAGGCAATTTTGCTATAGTAGTATAATATATTTGTCAAATTGTACAACTAAAATTGTTACAAAGTAAATTATACGTCAAAAATTTCGAATGCTAAGCCAGATTGTGGTACTTGGGATAGCCCGAGGTGCCGTTTATGTTAAAACATTGCTGCTCTGAAATTCTTGATGTATCTATATTTTCGATTCAAGCTATTAAAACTACTGAGGAATGTATTTATATTAATTAACAGGTATCACACCTATGGCTATCAATATAATGTTTATTGTTACGAACTGTGTTTTATTTTAGAAATAATATGTTCTTTTTCATGGTTATTTCAATAGATAGCGCTTTTTATTTATTTATTAACATATGTAAAGTAAGTCAATAACATAAAAAAAACATAAAAAACATACATATTCAATGATCCACATTTATAATTTTGTTTACTTGTTAAGGTCTTAGAAGAAAAATTAGTTGCCGTTATAAGTTTTAACTTGGATGTAGTGCACAATTTGTAGTAAAAGTATTAGTAAACAAATGATCCTAAACTCTGTTTATTCAAAACTAACAGAAAATGAAATACGTTTTTAAAACAAAGTTCCATAATTTAACTGGCGATTAAAAACATTTTTGATACAATAAAGTAGTTCAGTTGTTTTCAAACAACGCCATCTGTTGTCTACTTAGGCAAAACGAAAATCTTAATTTCTAATATGGAGGGTAGAAGTAAAGATTAGGAGGACCATCTCAGTGTATTAAAAAGTGTCCGTTGAAAGGGTGCAAATTAAGGTAGCCCTATAGTAGCAAGTGGAAGAATTTTAAAAGGAGTACCACAAATTATTAGAGTAGGACACTGAATTCAAACAGGAAAGAAAAATTACCGCTTTGTTACAGCGATTTTTTTTAATTATTGTAATATACAGAGAAACATGAATATGGAATTAAATTATACAGTATTTTTAAGTACCCCAATTATTTGTAAATTAAATTATTATTATTTGTAAATTGTATTAAATTTTTAAAATAATATTTTATAAAATAATATTATTTGTAAATTATATTAAATTTTTCAACTCAGCACACTTCACTCTGTTTATAAATTATAACTGCTAAATTCATATCATTTCCATTTCCTACACTAGCGCTATTTCGGTGAGTGTTTGAACAATAATTTGCTGTTTACAAGTGGACACTTTTTCAGCTAATCCCCCATACAAGACGGTCCTCCTTACTTCCACCCTCCACAATTTCTAATCATCAAAATATTCTTCATGTGACATATGGAATTTTCACTTACGTTCTCAATTCTTAATATCACTTGAGTCAAATGAACTGTCTCGGCGTCCGGCACCTTTCATATCGAAGAAAATGAGATAACCACCTCCAGGTAAATTTCTAAGAAATTAATTAAATTTTTAAGAAATCTATTGTTAACTGTAACGCCGGCGCGTCCGCGGTTGTTGAGGGAATAAAGTCTATCTCTTTAATTTTTTACCCGACAGCAAGGAAAGGGTTATGTTTTTCGCGCCTAACTTTGTATGTTTATTTGTAATATTCTTTATTCCCTCATATCTTCCAAACCACTCCATGGATTTCTTTACTTATGGTATCATTAGATTCGTCTCATTAGACCAAGTGTTCTTAGGTGACATAAAAAATAAATAAATATGGGGGCTGCTAGATTCCATAATGTGAAAATAAAAAAAATTAAATCGACGTATCACCAGGGAGGACGGGAGTGTTCAAAACTTGCTAAAAACATCAAGTGATTATGAGGCCTTTTACATTATGACCGTGATTTTTCAATTTAATGCTCATCTTTGACGTTCTCATTCAGAGATACTGAAACTCTTCGACAATTTTGACTTATTGTATGATGGTGTAGAATAGTTATTAATATAGTTCATAGCGGCCTCGCTTTTTATAATTTTATTATAAATTGACATAAAGCCAAAATTCAGAACCAAGTTTTTAATAAAATGTGCGACGGCACTTTTTCAAGTTTATGGATTGAAATACTATACTAACAAACGAAATGAAAAAGTGGTTGAGCTTACAGCGGCCTCGGAATTTTAAAATATGTACCTATTGGATTTCTACAAAAAAAATCCTTTTCAAAATCTTAAAAACTATTAAAAACGTTCAGTATTAGTTGTAATATATCCTTACAACATTAATATTATTAAATAAAATTTTGTACCAGATCAGTATAAAAGAAATGTAATTACATACTTTTTTTTAAATAATTTATTATAAAGACTACATAGAAGTAATTACAAGTGCAGAAAATGCTAGAAACAGCGATGCGTCGACCGCTTGAACTCGATACCATAGAACGCAATACATTTTGATGAACGACCCCTTAGGCCACTCTGTTTTCCAATTACAGAGCATAATGCCGCACTTTAGAGCACAAACACGAACAACGCGAAAAAATACTTTTTATATTTTCTGCTACTGAGTTGGTATGCGTTGGGCGCATCACGCTAGAGTAGTACTTTTAAACGTACTCGATTGTGTGGAGCGTTGCTGTAGATGAAAAATTCGAAGTTGATCATTATGCCGCATAATGCGCTTTAGTGTTATAATGTTATAATTAGTGTTAAAACTATTTTATAACACCCGTAGAAAATATGTTTACAAATTACTATTGCTAACAATAATTCATAGTGCTTTGATTTTTAATCAAAATGAATTAATGAAAACTATAAACAATAGACAGATACGGAAGCAAAGCAAAACATTAAAGAGATAGAAGCTCTATTGTAGAGAGAGACAATATTATTAAATGTCATATTATTTTGACATATTACTTTAGATATCGTATTCATTGATCATTCCTTTAGTTCATTCGAAGTACGCATATTTTTGTATTATACTACTGATTTTGTCAAACACAAAAAAAATATTTAGAATTAGATAACGGACTAAATTAACATATAATTATAAATATTTTATAACATTTAAATATTCGAGTACATCTTAAAATTAAATAATGAATAAGGTAACACCGTACTTGAAACAATAAAATAGTGTGTCAGTGTGCGAGATTGTGATGTGAACACTGAACAGTCGTCGAAGTAAATTGATAAAGTTTGTTTTGTCTCAGAAGTATGAAAATCGTTTTACAAATTTTCTAGTCGACATGAGATAATTTATTCAATTCAACACAAATAGTCACATAGATTTTTTGTTAGAAAAGTAGTAATAATGAATTCGAATTGAGTTTAGTAATAAAAATGAGAAGTGCTCTTGGATTGCTGGTTGTCACACGCGATTCCTTCTCGGAATAGAAAAGTTTGCATCTTTTTGAAAGAAGCGTTATATGTACGCAGCGGGAATGACAATAATGGCAGTGTCTGTTGGCGAAATTTGCGAAAACACGAAGCTGGCCCGTGAAATGGCACTGATGGGAAACTACGAATCGGCTTTGGTGTACTACGAGGGAACGGTGCAGATGATCCATAGACTGTTGATCACGATCGCGGACCCCACACGAAGGTCTAAGTGGCAATTGGTAAGTCAAGGAAAATTTTCAAAAGCTATATCTTGGGCCATGCCACTAACCTTGTATGTAATTACTTCCTTATATGATAACTCTCTTAATTAATTTTGCGTAATACAGAAGGCCACCCACATAAGCACTTAATTGATAATTCTATGTGTTTTGTTGACATTTAATATGGTAGTACACTCCATTGTTTTCCTATATACAATCTCTTATCATAAATAAAGATCAGAATAGGAAATCAGTTTGTTAAGAGATTTATTTCCTTTATTCTTCTTAACTGATAATTTAGTCATACAAGATGTAAGGTCTATAAAATTAAAGGACAAAAATGAAACTTGACGTATAAAAACATTTACTATGCAAAAATAAAGATTAAATTAGATTTTTACATAAGTATATTTATATGATTTAATTTATAAGACCAGTAAAACTTTTTTCAATACCTATTTAACCTTAATCTTTTAATACAATATAACAATATTGATATTTTAACATTTAAGAATTATTAGATAAATATCCACCCACATATTTTAGTAACAGACTGAGATTTTTAAAAAGTAGTTTATAAAAATGCTTTGATTAATGAAAAACATAGGTAATATTTATCTTATTTTTTATATTTAATATTTAGAGTCATACAACTTTTATCGTCAAAATCAAGGTAACCTGGAAACATTCTCCCAATACATTTGACCTTATAACCTTTAAACATAAATTTTAACGGTTGCATATCAGTTGATAAAGTTTAATGTACCCTCTTTTAAAACATCAATTTGTGCTAGTTAAGCCACAGGTCAATGCTACCAGGTCTGACTCAATCACACATACTTCTGTGAATAAAGGCTACATTACAAAGTGCTTAAGGATATATTTTATGTCACTTATCTTAGCATTATGAAGCAACTTTTTTAATGATGTTTGACTTACAGAGTACAGACCAATTTAAACAAGTAAATAAATAAATATGTTGAGACATTAACACACAGCACCATCTAGTTCCATGGTAAACTACGAGACTTGGGTTATGGATACCTGATAGGTATATACACTACACATATATAACTTTCAAATACAAAATATATATTGTAAATATAAAAAATTTGAAAATTCTTTTATTATAAGTCCCTAAAAAAATATTTCTAAAGCTAAAATTTTGAGTTGGTAATGAAATGTATCTGTAATTCAAATTATATGGCTTGTTGAAGTCAACAGTGAGTTGCTAGTAAAATATTATAAGTTAATATTTTTTTGGATTCTTTTTTATTTCTTGACTCAACCATTTAGCCTTTTAAAAGTTCAATGTAACATTAAAACATCAATAGTGAGGCATAGGTCAATGCTAAATGAACTGACTCAGCTGTTGCATAAATTATTCCTTAAAACAAATCAATTTGCTTATATGATTTTTGTAATGGAATTCATTTTCACCTATTGTATTTTGTCTATTTATTACAAAATAAAGTTTAATCACCCTTATTGTTTCTAAGAAAGAATTTTAATTATATGTTTTTACTTATTAGTAATAATGGTTTTATATATCACATAAAATTGATAAAATGATAGTTCTATGTGACATTGGTGAAGTAATCTGTGCTCAACTGGCATGCTTTGAAGCCATTAACAAAAGAATTGAATTGAGAATATTTAGTGTTCTTTATAGCTGCTTGTCCAAGATCAGTAAAGGTAAAGGTATTCTGTACCCAACTGCTGGATAAAAAGTATTTTTTAATTGACATAATATATAAAAAAACTACTTAGCCTTAAACATCCAACTACAACTAGGCAAAAAGAAATATTTTTTGTTTTATTTTTCTGTATTAAATTCTCTTTTTTTTATTTTACTTGCTTTTCAAAATCTGCTTCCAATTTTAGCTAGATATTTAAACTGTAAAGCACTTATTTGAAATTGGTGACAATTATTCTTATCATGCCTTATTACATTACAATGATTTAGAATAGTATATGAAAATATGAAATTGGTTAAATATTTGTAAAATTAATACATTTAAAGAAACGTAAAATATGCTTACAGTTAAAATATGACGTATGCTATGCCAGTGATGCTAATTTAAATCTCGTTATAATAACTTAGTATCAGGAAAAAATATCGTAAACAGGTATAATCTAATCAGCATATTTTGTAATCATATGATGCCATTGTTAACATGCTTCTGTGACTTCACATAATAACTATTGAAACATTACTCGCTTAGCAAGTTGAACTGTTCCTTATACAAGAAATACATGAAACTTAAACTAAATCAAATAATATATTCCAACACAGATCTTTTCCTAGTTAAACTTGATTGAACTACACGTTTGGCTCAGTTTGTAGTGAGCCTACTTGCTGTGCCAGCAGTCGCGGGTTCGAGTCCCGCTGGGGGCATTCATTTGTGTGATAAGCATGAATGTTTGTACTCCAGTCATGGGTGTTTATATTTATAGTATGTATTTAAAGTTATATAAGTGTAGTGAATCAACTATCTGGTATCTATGACACAAGCCTCGTAGCTTACCATGGAACACGATAGTGCTGTGTGTTGATGTCCCAACAAAAAAAATACTGTTAGGTGAAATAAAATCATCGACTTCATATTCATTAATATGCGACACTTTTGCGTTATTTTATTGAAAATCACATAACTTACATTTTTAAAAATAAACTTTAATTTTAATGTGCTAAAAAGAAAAAAAAATGCTGTCGAACGCTAAGGAGATGGTTCATTTGGAGCTGTATGCAACAGCCAAGTCATGGTAGGTTTTATAACAAACTATAATAGTTGAATGCGTTTATAAAATGTCGTGTCCGTATGTTGACCGTTAACAAGTTGCTTCGTATGGAGCCAATCTTAATCAAAAATTTTCATAAAAAGTAATTCGTCATCGAAACGGAACCAACATGTAAAATTACTAGGCTAAGAGGGTCTAATTCTGCTTGTATGATTTGACCCTAACAAACATTGCAAGTTAAATAAAATGCTAAAAACAATGGATCACTAACATATAAAACAGTACGAAACAAAGACGCAAATCTTATCTTTTTAATACTTTATAATGCGGCAGTAATATCAGTTAATCTCGGTTATTAGCATAAGAGGAATTTTATTCGACATCACCCTTGTATGGACCGATCTCTATAATCATCTGTAATAAATATCGATTACGCGATTGTAAGACTATGCGGCGCCACACGTTTGTCTGTCTGTCTGTCCATTTACAGATAATTGTTGCGTAGTTAACACATGGTTATACGTAAGTACATAGACATTTAAAATTAATATAGTCAGGTGATACGTGATTTCTAAGCTAAGAGGCATATTATCACTATATATTATAAAATAAAGTCCCCCGCCGCGTCTGTTTGTCTGTCTGAAGGCGATAAACTTAAAAACTACCGAACGGATTTTCATAAGGTTTTCACTAATAGATAGAATGATTCATGAAGAAGGTTCAGGAATATAATTCATTAAGGTTTTGTGTAAATTGACTGAAATATGACGATTACTGTTAAAAATGTCGGATAAAATCATACCGATTGGGAGTTTTATTGGCGTGCTCCCCGTAAACCAATAGAGTTTTATGAAATCAACGTATTAAGGAATTAGTCCCCCTAAAAAGATCTTCCTATTAAACTGTAGCAACGCTATGTGCTCGTACCTAGGGACGCACCTAGGCGAAGTGAGAGTAATTCACTAGTAAAATTATAGAATATGTATGTATTTAAAAATATAACTACGAAAGTTTCTATATTAGTTTTATTGTTAAGTTCTTTATGATTTATATGAAATTAACTTTCACCCGTGTCTCATGTGGTACGGTAATTATAGCTATGTCAGTTTTCTACCCGACAATAAATGTATGAAAAATCAGTTATGCAGTTCTTAAATTCTGCAAGAACCATTTTTTTTTTCTTTTTGTAAAGTAGCTTTTGTCTAAACTATGTATGTATAAGTAACTTTATGCTCCAAAATCTTTATACGCAATTGAACGTATGGATAGAAGAGTAATGACATCAAAAATTATATTGTTTGGACTTTCATATCTTTGGCCACTCAATCGATATAAAGTAATTACTAAAATTAAATTATTTAGCACTCATGCCCTCGTTATATTGACACTAAGAAAACATAATAATCTGTAAAGATATTTTTAAATTACAAAATATGTATATTTGCAAGGCTTTAAGGTGCCTTCATTTATGTTATTGAATATATAATTTGATTGCACAAAAACGTAACAGGTTGCTGCTCAGCCGCCTACGTAAATCCAATACGTGCCTTTCAACATATTTCCTTGTGCGACAGAATTACAAATAATATTATTACCTTTAGCAGTTCGCTTGTTTACCACTCATAGACTTAAGAGGTAGTAAAATATAAAATGAAGTAAAAACATCGTAGAAAATTATGAGTCTAATTCAAAGTTTTTAGACCGAGTAAAAAAATGGAGGTACCTCAAATTTGGCTGGTACTTTTGAAGTCATTTTAAAGTGTACTTGGCAAAGTAAAATAACTTTTTAGTTAAAAAGTTATGATGTTTACTGTAGTTAAATATTTAGATTGTAATTAAATTTTAATTAGATAAGCGTCGCTTTTCAAGTTTTTAAAGCACCTGCTTAACAACAAATAATTTTCTTGACGTACTCACTACATTGATTTATGACAATGTTATTGGCTGTTGTTTAGCTTTTTGTACCTTTTCAAGACCTAATATTTTTTTACCAATAGCGTTTCATGGAAATATTTTGATAGATTTTTTGTTCGTCGCTGGCTGAAATAACATTTTATAAATAGTATTGTTTTTATGAAACACTTGTGCTAGTGTCCTTGCGATTGCTCGATATCGAGTGAGTTTTTCTCGCAGTGAAACCTAACAAAAGCGTTTTACACCTCATTGCCTTTTCTGTAACGTAACACTCGAAAATCCATTCGTGAAACCTTCAGGGTTAGTGGTCTATCGATTTGAGTAGATTCGTCAAAACCTTAATGCCTTATATAAATAAGTTT